ACCGGATTACAACATCCAATCACAAATATCTACAATTTATTAATAATTATTGGCTAATTTTATTTTAATATTTAAAATGATCAAAATTAGTAAAAAAATATTAATTATTAAAAAACGTCAAATATCTCTATTTTTATTTAGATTGATGTAATTGAAGTTACTTTGATAAAAGTTAAATTTATATTTTTATGTAACTCATTTAATTTTTTTAGACCAAATTCATTTGTATTAATATTTTAGTGTGCAATTTTATTTGAATTATATTTTAAAATTAATTTTTATTTAAATTTATATGGTAATGAATTGTTTTTAAATAATTTTATTTAAAATATGTATATATTTAAATAGTCTATATACAGGTATTCATATACATCCGTATATATAAAAAAACCTGTAAATATATATTTTATGATATCCGAGGGACAAGTAACAGAACATATAACATGATAGATTTTTTAGACGGAATCGATAATAGATAGATAGTTCCGGTAACCGACTCGTTGTTATCCTAAGTTGTAACAAAGTATAAAAATTTCTTAAACGATCTTTTTTAGAGTGAAATACTCAGCTTTAATTCCTAGCTGCGGTTTATGCTTCAGTCACAATTTTGTGGATGAGTTTGGTGGGTATAGGAATTTATGCGAGTGGGAACTGCGCAACTATCTTAAAGTGAAGTGCATATTTTGTGTCTGTAGTGTGTTGGACTGTAATCGTTACTCACATTTTCAAAGACCTCACAGCAATGCTTAGAAGGACAATATAGTATGCGAATTACTAAGCTTAGCTGCTATCAGCCCTTGCTTGAACTTGAGCACATCTATGTCTCGTTAATGAATTCAACAAAGGAACAAAAGTAGGGACATTTCAACTTGCTTCTCTATAGTCATAACTGTTTTATTTTAGCTTCCACAGATGTAAATTTTTACTATTTCCTTAAATTCCTCTATCAGCGCAATGTCGGACTAATAACGCCAGTGCTTATTTGATCATATTTTAAGCTTCAACAATAATCAATCACAAACTGCTTCGCTCGAAGGACTTGAGAAGCATGCTGCTGCAGTTGTGGAAGTGTGATGTTATGTTATTTGACTATGTCGTTTCGGTAACAATTTTGTAAACAGGAAGAGCATGATTGTTTGAACTAAAAATTGGCTGAGCCACCTCCTCTGATTGAAAGAGGAGAAGCCAATAGAGAGCTATTATCTATGAGTTTGGGATTTAGATATACAACAATAACTGTAATATCATCGTGGAAGTGTCTCCTCACTCCTTCTTCTATCTTTTGCAGGTCTGACACTCTCATTTCTCTCTTCCTTGCTGCTTCTCGAAGTGCAGCTTTCACTAGTCGCCTACCAATACCCTGCAACATCAATTACCACCAACCATTAATATTCAGAAAGAACTTTTGCATGATAAAAGAACACAAACACATATCCTTTGCTGGAAGCAAAGGAACCTTACATTGCGTGGACTATTGCTGACTATATTCACAATTTCTTGGTTGCTAAGTTGCTCCCACAGACCATCAGAAGCAAAGACGAGAAATTGATCTTCAGGACCAAGTTTATGCATTGATATTTCTGGTTCATAGCTAAGAATTGGCTTAAAGAAGGGTTCGGGTAGTCTAAACTTATTCGGCAGAGGCTCCCTGTTAAATTCTTGTTTCTTCAGATATGCATCACCTATGGATCTTGAAACCTGCAAAGGCCAAATCTGTTAACTTTGAATTCTCATCTTTTTTCTTCTTGTAGCTTTTATAACATTCTCAACAATCATAACCAATTATTGTCACTTATTATCCTTAAGTAAATAAACAAATTAACTCTAGATTTTTTAAGGCTTTTTGCTTAAGGGTTTGGTTCCTGAATCTAACGTTAGATAACAATTATCTTCAGAGAAAATATAATGCTTTTTAACTTCTCAAATTTAACTTTGAAGAAAAGAAATAATTACTAAAATCTTATTCGTTAACAACTAGTGCTATGAATCTCTCGAATTTTTACCTGTACAAGGCCTTTCACACGCCAAAAATTGTGTTTCTTAATCATGATTTGTGGATCATATGGGTGCATTGTCTGAAGTTCATCTCAGACAATTGGATAGCTGTTGTTTCCCTTCTTGCTCTCTCTACTTTCCCCAACACCACCCTTGAGTCTCCTTCATTTTCAACATATAGCATGCCATTGCAAGGTTATCCCTTTGTATAACATTCTTTGATATGTCTAGTCTTGATGCTCAGCTGCAAAACCTGCTTTACACAGAAAAATGTACCACCACAACGATATTAACGGAGAACAAAATTATTTTTGTTTTTCAGCAAGGTTACTAAAGATCTATGTTTTCAATTTAACTTGTCCTTAAACATGATGTTAGCCAATATTAATAATTCGTGGATATAGGAAACAAAAGTCTCCATGAGAATAATACTAACTATAAATAATCCTTATACTTTTCTCATATCTAAACCAACATTAACATAGCTGCTGATACCAATTCTGTTGATATAAGCGGAGGCAGAATCAGGGAAATCATAATTGATCACACAATTCACACCTTTGAAATCCATTTACCGGGCAACCACATCCGTAGCAATCAAAACCCATGTTTTTCCAACTCTGAAGTTATCAACAGCATTTTCTCGCTATACAAAAATGTAAGAGATGAGAATTCATAAATCACAAAAAGAAAACTGCTAAATCAAAAACGACTAGTCCTTAGCCATTGGCGAGTGGAAGAAAACGAATAATTTAGGGGTATCTGTAATGATTCACTGCATTGCAGTTCCCCTTTAATTAGTATTACTATAATATAAAATGGGGATGATGATCAGATTCCACTCTAAAAATTAAGTGTCATTGACTCATTGGATCAGTAAAAGATCATCATATATATGGGAAGAATTATAACCATTGGGGAGAGCCTATCAAAAGCTAATGTCTAACCTTTGGCAAGGATCATAACCATGATCCAGCATCTGCAACCATAAATCTTCTAGCATAGTGTAGATTTTGCCGCTCTCTGGATGAGAACTGTCTTCTGAGAAGAACACGTGGATCTGATCCTTAAATTCTATCCAACTTTGACCAGGAACCTTCTGTACACCCATTTGTTTCATTAAATGCCTTAGTCTCGCAACTTCTTTCCAGTTGCCGGCAGAAGCATTTATATTAGAAAGTAGCACTAAAGCAGCTGAATTGCAAGGATCGAGTTTTAATATATTTTCTGCAGCTTCTTTTCCTATGTCAAAATTACCATGAGTTTTACAGGAAGCGAGTAGAGTTTTCCATGTAGTAATGTCAGGATCAAATCCCGTTTTCTTAATAAAATTCTCTGCTTCATACAAGCATCCAGCACGAGCAAGCAAATCAACCATGCAAGAAACATGCTCTCTTGTTGGTGCAATACCAAGTTCCACTTCCATGGTTTTATACAAGTGCAAACCTTCCTCCACCAATCCAATGTGACTGCATGCACTGAGAACCCCCAGATACGTGACCTCATTAGGCTGGACACCAAGATTCCTCATCATTCTAAAGAGATTAAGAGCTTCATGGCCAAGTCCAAACTGAGCATAGCCAACAATTAAACTACTCCACGAGACAATATCAAGGTTCTGGGTTGAATCAAAAACATCACGGGCATGTTTAAGTGATCCACACTTAGCATACATGTCAATCAGTCTATTGCGGACGGAAACATCAACCACTAGCCCACTTTTAACAGTAAAGCAATGGACTTGATTCCCAACTTCTAGAGATGCCAATTCTGCACAAGTACCTAATATGGTAGTTATGGTGATATTATCAGGCTTATTTTCAGAAAAGAGCATTAGCTTAAATAATCTAAAAGCCTCTCCTGCATGTTTGTGCTGCAAGCATGCTGATAGAATTGCATTCCAGGAAACTAAATTGGCTCTTTTACCCAAATATGTGAAAACATTGAATGCATCATGTAGACTTGAACACTTTGTGTACATCGTCAACAAAGAGTTGCATACAGCTGCTTCCTTATCTAAACCTACTTTAATAATGTAAGAATGCATTTGCATGACTTGGTTACGTGTCAAAAAGCTCCCACAAGGACAGAGTAAGGAGAGAAAAGTAATGTCATCTGGGAGCAATCCTGTATGCATCATCTGGCGAAAAAATGATACTGCTTCATTAACATGACCACTGTCAGAAAATGCTGCAATAATTGCATTCCATGACACTAAATCCGGGCTTTCAATTTGATAAAATGCCCTTTCTGCCAAAGGTAAGAATCCAAATTTTGCATACATGTCACAGAGGGAGCACCCGGCAAAAATGTTCCTCCCTAAACCAAATTTAGCGCAGACTCCATGAATCTGCCGTCCAAATTCTGGTTCGAGAAGGCTTCCGCAAGCACTGAATACACTGCCAAATATAAACTCATTTGGTTGATAAACAGATTGCCTGAGCATATCTCTGAAAACATATAAAGCTTCTATGTCATTACGAAGTTGAGTAAACCCTGTAATCATAGAAGCCCAGGAAATTAAATCCTTCGAGGAAATCATAGCAAACACACCCGAGGCATGTGCAATTTGTCCAAACTTCGTATACATTGATATAAGAGCGTTTTGTGCAATTAAGTGATGATCATACCCTGATTTAATGACTTGACCATGTAGTTGTCTGCCTAAGTCTATATCTGCCCCAATGCAGCAAGCCTTAATGATGCTTCCAAATGTAAATTGGTCTGGGAGATAACCTGATCGCAGCATTTGAATATACATGATGATGGCATTATTCTCTTCATCATTCTTCATGTATCCGGAGATCATTATAGTCCAAGAGACCACATTACGCAGCTGCATAGCATCAAAAACTTTTCTAGCATCCTTCAAAGAACCACATTTTGCATACATATTAATAATATGATTTTGGAGAACAAGGTCTGGCTGACACTTGGATTTTGAAATGTGATCATGGATTTTCTTGCCGTAATTTAGAGATCTAAAGTTGGTACAGGCCAGTATTAGATTCGCATACGTGCTTGGTTCAAGGTGGATACTCGATTTCTCTAGATTGAAATTAAATGCATCAAGTGCTTCTTTGTAATGCTGTTGCTTGCACATCAAGTTGATGTAATTGTTGGTTGATAAGTTTGTACTGAGACTGGAGACTACTCTTGTTGATACAATAGGTCTTGTACAATTATATATACATCGAATTTGGCTTGGAATGATCATTGGCAGGGGATATCGACAAAGCAAGTGAAGTTCTTCTTATTGTTGAGAATCTTACTGGGTGTGGTGTCAGGATAATGAAGTGGACACAAATGAGTGTTTGTGATTAATGAAATAAAAAATCCATAATTAGATGAACCCAGTGGGAACACTTATGTAAAGCCAGGTATTGGACGAATATCAAGAAACCGCATATGATTATGTAGTACCTGGGCGCAGTGTTGTTAAAATCGCGAGTAAACTCGCAAACTCGTACGGTCCTGCGAGTTTACATCACCAAGCGAGCTGACGCGGAGGCTGGAAGATAGGAGCAATTATGCGAGGGTGCTCGCTGGATCCGATGACCATGCGCCGTGTCGATCTTTCTGGTAGTGTTCTGTTTCGCATATCAGAACCAGAGGAGAAGGCCCACACGAGGCACTAGCTTCACGACGACCATTCTTGAAACCGCAGTCCCACTCACCGGCGGCTGCTGCCTTCGCACTTACCGGAACTCGCCGCCCTCGCTGCGCTCTGTTTACTCTTTTTTCTTTCCCGCCTCTATTGCTTTTGGTCTTCTGGGTTCTGACAAGAGTTGAAAAAATTGGCATGAAATTCTTTATGAATTTGTAAATTTGTTAGTTATTTTTATATGAACATTTTATAAATTATGAATTTTGTTAATAGTATTATGGACTATTTTATAATTTTCATAATATACTTATTTATGATTTTAATAATATACTTATTTATAAATATAATATTTTATATATTGGTAACTCTAACAAATGAAGTTAGGATTTTTTACATATTTTTTTTTTCCGTTCCTCCTATTATTCTGGAAATAGACATCACTGTTGTACTAATTACCAGTGAAAAGGGAATCAAAGAAGTCCAATATTATAGTTTTGACTGCTATTTTTGTTTGGTTTCAAACTAGAAGGCTGCTATTGCTGGCAAAGCTAGAGGAGGTACCTGAATGAGTTAATTGTAGGAATTTTTCTTGTAAGTGAATAGTCCATTGCTCCTTATGCCATCCTTTCTAGCTTGGCTTGTGATGTTAAATTCAATTTTCATTCATGAGATTTTTTCTCTTACTTTTTCTGCAGTATTTAGATTTTAGCAGTTCAATATTAATTCTGGATACGTCTTTAATTTGTTTGATGATAACTTCCTCTATAAGATAAAAGAGACTCAAGTTATCTGAAGAAGCTTTTTTCTATTTGTTCTTGTGTTAGCTTCGTAGCTCATTTTGGAATCTACAGCTTGAAAGCTTAATGAACGTTGCAGAAACAAAGCTTTTGAAATTTCATCACCCTCTGTTTCTAATGCATTGCCTTTCGCTTGTTCCAATGTTTGCATGATAAAATATTACACTAGATTATGCGCGACATTTTTGAAATGCAGTAGACACATGTGCATTTAATTTAATGTAGCATCGCCATCCAAGATACCACCAAAATGATCGTTTAGGGAGATCGAGTATAATCTAGGAATGAATTTGAGCACATTTATTTCTCGTTAATCAATTCAACAACGGAACAAAAGTTGGAAATTCAACTTGCTTCTTTATAGTCATAACTGTAGATGTAAATTTTTACTATTTCCTTAAATTCCTGTATCAGCACAATGTCAGACAAATAACGCTTGTGCTTGTTTTCTTTAGCATCTTGAGAAAAGGTTTTGAGAAATTTATTTGATCATATTTTAAGCTTCAACAATAATCAATCACAAACTGCTTCGCTCGAAGGACTTGAGAAGCATGCTGCTGCAGTTGTGGAAGTGTGATGTTATGTTATTTGACTATGTCGTTTCGGTAACAATTTTGTAAACAGGAAGAGCATGATTGTTTGAACTAAAAATTGGCCGAGCCACCTCCTCTGATTGAAAGAGGAGAAGCCAATAGAGAGCTATTATCTATGAGTTTGGGATTTAGATATACAACAATAACTGTAATATCATCGTGGAAGTGTCTCCTCACTCCTTCTTCTATCTTTTGCAGGTCTGACACTCTCATTTCTCTCTTCCTTGCTGCTTCTCGAAGTGCAGCTTTCACTAGTCGCCTACCAATACCCTGCAACATCAATTACCACCAACCATTAATATTCAGAAAGAACTTTTGCATGATAAAAGAACACAAACACATATCCTTTGCTGGAAGTAAAGGAACCTTACATTGCGTGGACTATTGCTGACTATATTCACAATTTCTTGGTTGCTAAGTTGCTCCCACAGACCATCAGAAGCAAAGACGAGAAATTGATCTTCAGGACCAAGTTTATGCATTGATATTTCTGGTTCATAGCTAAGAATTGGCTTAAAGAAGGGTTCGGGTAGTCTAAACTTATTCGGCAGAGGCTCCCTGTTAAATTCTTGTTTCTTCAGATATGCATCACCTATGGATCTTGAAACCTGCAAAGGCCAAATCTGTTAACTTTGAATTCTCATCTTTTTTCTTCTTGTAGCTTTTATAACCTTCTCAACAATCAACAAGGAACCACTTAATGCTACGAATCTCTCTAATTTTTACCTGTATGAGGCCTTTCACACGCCAAACATTGTGTTTCTTAACCACGATTTGTGGATCATAGGGGTGCCTTGTCCGAACTTCATCTCTCTCCATTTGGATGTTAACGTTGTGCTCTGCAGACAATTGGATAGCTGTTGTTTCCCTTGTTGCTCTTTCTACTCTCCCCAGCACCACCCTCGAGTCTCCTGCATTTGCAACATATAGCATGCCATTGCAAATTATCCCTGCCAAACAACATGTACCGGTAGATGCAATCTGTGGTTTGCTTAGCCACTGTTTCTTCACAACAGACAGAAAACCCTCTTCTGTTGCAGAAAAGGCCCTTTGTATAACATTCTCTGATATGCCTTGATGCTCAGCTGCGAAACCTGCTTTACACAGAAAAGAGTTTATTAAACTTCTATGGATGTTTGTTTCTATTTGACTTTCAAATAGGTCCTTACGTTTAAAATCATTAACAATTTCAGTTTTCACTGCCAAAAATATGGTCCAAATTATGCTACTTTGCAGTTGTGGTCCAAGTAATGGATTTAGTTTCAGAATATTGGGGTCAAGCAAGAAAATACTAATGGATTTTCACAGTCTTCAATTCATTCGAAAAGCATCAGAGAAAAAAATATTGTTCTTCCAGTAAACACACATATGGTTATAGTAAAAGTTGAGGGCATATCATACTCTTGACATTGGCGAAGAGATTGTCACTGACAAACTGTGAGGCTGCGGAACCACCATGGCCATCGTATACACCAATAAATGTTCCTTGAGGACCCAGATAGTCAGAAGTCAAGGGTCCAGATTCAAGTTGGCTACGATCCTCCAATGAACTATTTGCTTGAATCACAGCCATTGAGAATTCCCCATAAAGATGGTTTCCCAAATCCTTGTACCATAGCAGTCCCTCAACTCTCCCATTTACATCTCCATCATCACCCACAGAAGCTGGCTTCCAGCAGAATCTAACCATACTTTTTTTTTCAGACCCTTAAAGTAATAAAATACGAAGAAGTTTTCTTCAGCTGCTTATGCTTCACACGGTCTCTTATCCTGAAGTTATATTATATATATACCTAGGAAAAGCAGACATCATAGGATAAGAACAAATTTTAGCTAAAAGCCAAATTGGTATGGGGCAAACTAACTGAGAAGTATACCTTGGGATGACAAGCCAAGTAACTCTCATGCAAGTTCAGAGAATACTGAGGCCTTTTGGTGGTATGTACCTTGAACCTGAGCAGCATGCATTCGGAACTTCTCTGTGTGCCAATTTTCAGCAGCAGACTTAGCTGTAAAAGCACATAAATTTTCGATATGGCAGAGTTGGTCTAAGATTTGAGTGATAAAAGGGAGCAATGGATAAGAAAAGGGGTTTTGGATGTTTTTGACAGAGGATCTTGAGAGCACTGAGACTAGATCTAAGATCAGAAAATGAAAAGAGATTTAAACTACAAACTCTGACAATGTAACTCATGTCCTTTCATTTGTCCCACATGATTTTAATGTTCTGAGGCCATGTGGGTTTCCAAAAGCCTTTCATGGCTAGGATTTCAGTTCCATCACATTAAAAAGGTATAATCCTAAGTGTTAGGTAACTTTGCTTGTCTACCTCTTCCACTTTCCATTTTTCTGGGTAAACGTCGACTTTTCCCTGCTTTAACTTTCGTGATAATGCATGACTTTACCAATCTAGAGTCTAGGACCCACGGGTTTTCTCACCCTTTACCATCATGGGTTCATGCACTTGATTTTTCCTCTCTAATACTTATCTCCACATTTCTGCTACATATCACTTTGTTTAACTCTGCAATACTTTCCTATACGTCTGAGTTGTAACAAAACATAAAAATCTAGGTAAGTGTAAATATGTGATAAAGAAAAATTGGAAACTGAACAACACAACATAAAATATGTCCAAAAAGTGGTCCTTTAACACTTTTTTCCACAAACATGTTCCGGGGTGGTCAAATAAGTAAAATGGCAAAGTTCACTTTGGCTTTAACCTAACAAATTTAACCAGGAAAAGAAAAATGGACTCTTATCATATCCAGTATCTGCCAATACAGTACCAAATTCATTCACCCAATTTCTCCTGTGTGGTCATTTCATTTTTCTGTCACCGACTCACTGCATAATGATCTGTATTATTCTGATATTTTCTTTTTGTTTTTGCAGTCAAAAACCTCACCTACCAGCATACATCATGGTCTAATAAACCCTGCAACATTTTCATTTCATAAATACTATTTTCTGGATACAACTTTGTTAGGCAAAGACTAATCCTTGTCTTAAACAGATATTTAAATCCTAACTGGCTGAGACTAATCCATGTCCTAATAAACACAACCCTTTTGGTGTATAAGGTTTGAAAGCTATGATTGAGAAGGGTGAGGAGAGAGTGCAGCTGTAGACATCAGAAAAGGTATATACGCGGATGAAGACAACTTGGAACTTGAAATGATGCATGCATTCACTGTATGAAACAACAGAGTATGGTTTTCAAATTCCGTCAACTTCAATATTAGTGGTGATATGATAATTTGGTGAAGGTGTATTAGTTAGCGAGCAATAGTTTATGGAAAGAGAAGTGGGTATAGAAGGATTTGTCGATTATATATTGTGGTTATGGATAGTAGCAAAGTGAATGATGGTTTTGCATGGGTTCCACCTATAATAAATTTGGATGCGTGCTCTTCAGAGAATAGTTAGAAAACAGGACGCATGATAGAACATATATATAGTATTTAGCAGATTTTCAATGAATAGTCAGGCTAGCAGGTGGCCTTGTCAACTCAACCTCACTCAATATGGAAACATGTAAAACATACATCCAAATTAAATTATTCATCGTTTTAACATCAATTCATATCCTCACATTTTATTTATTTTTAATTATTTTAAAATTAAATTTTATATATACAAGATAGACCAAGTTGACATGTTTGAACTGAATCACTGATTCAGACCTATCGTTTCTTATTTTTTTACTATATTTCATCAAGTTCTCTGTTTCAAGCAAGGGTTCAGGTAATTTTAATACCTTTTTCTTTCTAATGAATTTCACCTTTAATTAAGAATTAAGTCAATTGTAAAGTTAGAT